CCTCGGCTGACATGGCTGCTCGCCATCGTGGATCTTTAACTGCCTCATAAAACGACCTTGGTTCAGGATGGCTATCAACCGCTGCAAGAAAAGCACAATAATTAGTGGATAACTTATCATAACTGAGATGATTAGACAAGGGATAGCGTACTGAGTTAGCTTCATTCCCTGTATAATATATATCGAGATGCTTCGGTGGCACTCGATGGCGGTCTCCACGACGAGGTGGAACAACAGGAGCCGGATTGATGTTGGATAGAGGACTGTCTTCGCCAAACAAATCAGCACGGGCCGAAGAGGAGGGTCCAGGCGTGCGGATCTCCTCAGATGTGCTGGATGCAGTCTTTTGCGTGGGCCCAGGAGAAGGATGGGCTGAACCAGGCCCATTGCTCAATGGAGACTCAGAGTTGGGCCCATTGTTAGGCGCTGACCCAGAGGAAGCTGGGCTCGCGGGGGACCCTGTTAAAGGAGAGGGCGACAGAGATGCAACCATCTCCTCTTCATCAAAAATTTGCCGATCAAATATTGTACCTGGAACCCAGTGAAACTGATCGGAAGTATTGGCCTGGAATGGGAAAATGGTCTCATGGAAGACAACGTCCCTGCTGGTGATCATGCGTTGGGAAGAAAGATCATAAGCACGATACCCTTTTTGACTAGCGGCGTATCCCATGAAGACACAAGCGCGACCACGCTCGGAAAATTTTCCCAACCCTGCATGTGTATCTTTACAATAGACCAAACAACCGAACACACGAAGATGAGTATAGGTGACTGACCTGCCAAACACGACCTCATACGGTGTTCTTCCTGTAGCTGTGGTAGGAAGCCGATTAATCAAGTATGCCGCTGTGAGCACACATTCACCCCAGAACCGTATTGGTAGAGAGGCTTGAAATCGCAGTGCACGTGCTGTTTCAAGGATATGACGATGTTTTCGCTCGACAACACCGTTCTGTTGAGGAGTATCGGTGCACGAAGTTTGAAGGAGAATACCTGTATTCTCATAGAATTCGCACAACACCTTGGTTGCAAACTCAGGGCCATTATCAGCCTGAATTTTTTGTACCTGTTTCCCAAACTGAGTACGAACGAGGTTGCAGAATAGCTTTATATAACGACCAACCTCAGATTTAAAACGTAGGAGATAAATCCAAACGCCACGGCTATAATCATCAACAATGGTCAGAAAATAATGAGCTCCACTGTAAGACGGAGTATGATAACCTCCCCATATATCCATGTGCAACATTTCAAAACAAGAAGTAGTTCGAATCCCACTAACAGGAAAGGGTGTTCGAACTTGTTTTGCCCTCGAACATGGATGACAAATATCAATAGCCGACTTTATTGAAATAGAAATACTTGAACTAAGTTTCTCCAGAACACCAGCAGAAGGATGACCCAGACGAGCGTGCCAAAGCGTCCCATCACCAGTAGCCACGGCATTGGCGCGCACTCGGCAACCAAACAACTTTAAGAAGTATAAACCATCACGAATCTCCCCCTTCCCAATCACGTTCTTGGATTGTAAGTCCTGTATAACGCAGAAATCACCAAGGAAGGTTAAAGCAACATGATGTTCTTGACAAAGTCGACTTACTGAGAGCAAATTGCAGCTGAATTCCGGAATATGAAGAACGCGACTAAGTGCGAGTCCCTCTCCAAGTCTGGCCGACCCTATGCGTTTGACGGGAATGCTTGCCCCATTGGGAATCCGAACCGGTTGACAAGTCACATTATCATTGTACGAAAATAGGAGAGAATCATCCATGACAATATGCTCGTTGCAGCCGGAATCAATAAGCCATTCAGTCTCAGAAGAAAAAGAAAACGTACCCGCCATGTGACTAGAAGGGTCGGTAGCTCCTTGAGTTAAAGTGCCAAAGAACTGTTTCAGTTGGGTCAACTGCTGTGGAGTGAAACCAGAGGTGGTGACCGAATCTGATTCAGCCTGCGAAGCTCGCGGCTCACGGCTCTGTCCACGACCCTTGCCTGAATCTCTGTCCCGGTTGCGACGACGATCTGGCTTCTCTCCTGACTTGTCTCGAGATGGCCAACCAATGAGCTCAAAACAACTCTCCTTAAGATGCCCAGTTTTGTTGCAATGGGTGCAAAAACGACGTTCCCTTTCTCCAGTCGCACGACCCCGCAGTTGGGTGTAAAAACTGGATACAGATTGCTTCTCTTGTTGAAGCAAAACCACATGACGCCGTAGTTCATAAGCGCGCGTTAAATTACCTTTGCTAAACCGATCGCGCAAGTCTTCCCAGATTTCTTGGGCCGTCTTAGCATGCATAACACTGCTGCGCAATTCCGCGTCCATCGCAGTGCGCAACCAGCCCTTAACGAGTGCGTCGCAACGCAGCCAGGCAAGAGATTGCGTCGATCCATTATCTGGTCGGGGAATAGAACCATCCACGAAGCCGACCTTGTTTTTTGTAACCAGTGCATCCGTCATCTCCAATACCCATTCACCATAGTTTGTCGGTGTTAAGAGGCTGCTAACGTGGAGGTGACCGGTGCTATCACTTTGATGGATGAAAAACGGATCAGTAGTGTCGATCCCTCCACCTCCTCCAGTAGCACCGCCGCCAGAGAGCTTGGACTCGGGCGTACTCATGGAGGATGAATCTTTGCCGGACATAACTACTTAACGATGGATCACAGCTCTGATACCATAATAAAATTGTAAGAACGATTTGCGGAATAATAAAAGACACAGGATTTACGTGGTATCCCCGAATGTCGGGACTAGTCCACGGGAGAGCACGTCTCTCCAGTTTGTTCTTATTTCACTGATAATTCACGGCCAATGGCCTTACAACCATTATATACCCTGCGTTTACAATCACCTAGGGTATTAATTAGTTTCCTTGTACAATAAGGAACTTCTATATTCCCTATCACTATTGTACTCGGAGTCTTTGCAGCAGAAGACTTCTTCTTCTGGGCTTCGGATATGGGCTGCTGCTGATCGCTGTGGACCTTGTCCATTAAATAGATTTTTGTAACTATCTAAAATGTAATTTATTAAAAAATTAATTAATATAATTTATTTTTCCATACCCAATTTACCCTTAGTAACCACGGTGATTACTACTAACCTGTCCCCTTGTAAACGCTACTGGGACTATTAGCGGCATTTATTTCAGTTGCTAAAAGCCAAAAAAAACCATGCGATATGTGGCATATTTTGTAGTGATTCCTGTAGTAAAAGAAAGCATATCAGAATTGATGCGATATCAACTAACACGAAGACTTGAATTAAAGGAGGTAATTTCTGGACCCTTTCCTCTAAAGCTGGGTCATGGTTGTGGCAGAAAGTGTTGAAGATAAGAGACAAAGTCAGGGGATGGATATCTATAGCTACTGATGGGGTATACTGGAAGGGCAATCTTATGAAAAAATTTTGCATACGAAGGATCTGGGAGGAGCTTCGACCAAAGAAGGATAGAGTTGCTTGGGGGAAATTGGTATGGAAAGGAATTTGCATCCCAAAGAACCAGTTCCTGGTCTGGTTAGTTGTATCTGATTGCATAACCACTGGAGAGAAAGCTCAAAAATGGGGAGGTCATGGTGATTTTGGTTGTGTGTTTTGTTCCTGTAACTTGGAAACTAGGTCACACCTTTTTGCTGGATGTTATATGTTTAAACAGATGTTTGTAGCTTTGTTCTGCAAATTTGCAGACAGAATCCCTGGGGATCAGTGGGAGGATGAGCTACAGTGGGCCTTAACCGCTTTCAAAGGCACTACTGTCTTCGCACAAACTGGGAAGTTGATTTGGCAGGCTTTAGTTGCAACAATCTGGAGAGAAAGATGCTTGATAAAGTTTGCAGGAAAGACAACTGGTTTTCATACTTTGCGCCAAAGGATTCAAGGTGATATAAAGGTGGTTGCTGATCCTTTAGTTGTGGGTTCTTTCTTTTGAACCTTTGAGTGAGTGTTTTGTTTTCTGGTTTTTGTTAGTGAACAGGGACTGTTTGTTCCCTTTGCTCAGCTGGTAGAGATGTTGCCAGCATTGTAATTGGCTATTTGATGAAATGAAATACCAACCGCTTCATCAAAAAAAAAAAGACTCGAATTTATCGATACAAGGATCAATGGATACATTCTTGAGGTTAATTAACGGTGCTCACGTCGCTGTGCCAAGGACAACACGTGAAAGAATTGGATGATATATTGAGAATTTTATGCATGAATGAATTGGCGATGCATGGGTTGCTTATTCTAAAGCACGTGAAGAGAAAATGAGGTTTGCAGGAAAAGTTCTTTTAATGGAATGGTAATTTGCTGACATGGTTAATTCATTCACTTGAGTTGGTTGGCGGTGGTGGGATTAAAGTGGACTTCAAGTAAGGCAAGCCGTAAGCTCTATTCCGCTAATGACACGGAGAAAGAATTCCGCCAAGTACAAGCAAAGCAACAAGAAAGCAGCAGCGGTGCATTTTGTTGGAATTATTTGTTAATTGCTTTATTTTGATTATTTAGTAGTTTTTACAGGAGTTTCATGTGTATCTTGTCCACTAGAGAACGCGTCTAATTGTGTGAGTATCGACTTATATCAATTGCTTCTTTCCATGAGTTGATGTTGTCCGATTAGTTTTTATATATATACCAATTTTCATAGTTTCATCACAAGTTGAGATTCTCCGATTGATTCCATCCTATCCTTTACTTTGGTCATATCATCGGAGTTCGAGGATTCTATTAGGAATTGGATCATATCAAGAATCTTTATGAAGCAAAGCACAAATATCATATACCACGTAAGTAGGTAGAGTACATACGTACGTAAGAGTAGATAAAACCAGATAGAGTTTATTTATTAATTGGCAACAGATCCTCAGAGAGTACCAATTAAATACACAACAGAACACACGTAGGTAGGTAGAGATGCATGCATGCATATGCAGGAGGAATATTCAGAACGATTGATTAGGCAAACCACAGAACAGGAAATCCATATTAATGTAGGCGGATCGATCAGAGAATTTAATTAGACGAAAGCACTGAGAGCAGCCTTGAGGTTAGCGATTTGTTTGTCTTTGGCGGCAAGCTGATCGTCTTTCTCCTTGGCCTGCTTCTTCAGCCCTTGGATCTCTACGTCCTTCTCGGCCAGCAGCCTCTCGTTCTCCTTCTTGGCGGCAAGCTCTGCTGCTTGTCTCTCCATGTCCTTCTTCTTCAGCTCCTCGATCTCCTTGTCCTTTTCAGCCAGAAGCCTCTGGGTTTCCTTGTCCTTCTCCTCCAGCTCCTTGTTCATCTGCGGGGAGCCCGCGCCTCCAGCGGCAATCAGCTTCCCGGTGGCGAGCTCGAATCGGTCCCACGCCGTCTGGACCGGGATGGGGATCTGGACGCCGTACCTGGACCAACGGCTGATTCAGAAGAACATAGGAGAGTACTAAACTGAATATAATTTGAAAATTAGATACCGACTAATAGTGAACCGAAAGAGATGGAAAAGGAACAAAAACAAAGAGTTGTCGTTTTAGCTCTGGACCCACAAGATTAAAGGGTTGGGCCGTAATCCGAGGAGGCCTACCACCACCACTACAACAAAACAGTGATTTAGCGACGGTCAAACGGACTTTTAGCGACGGTCAAACCGTCGCTAAAATATTTAATGACGGACAGCCAACCGTCGCTGACCCCGCCGTCCTTAAATTTTATAGCGACGGTTTTGGTCGACCGTCGCGCTGACCGTCGCTAAAGTTTAACGACGGTGGTGACCGACGTAATTTTCCAGACAACCGTCGTCAAATAAATATCCCAGCAATAGTTAAAATTATTTAGCGACAGAGTACGACCGTCGCTAAAAGCTACAGTATTTTAAGGAACCACCTTCCCAAACAATAACAGCCCTAGCCTGCTGTGATTTAACATTACTCTAATGATCACAAATCATTTTCTAAACATCAAATCAGCAACACACTACTCTAATAATCACAAATCAAGAATTGTAAATCCATTCATAACCCTTTGAATTGTAAATCAAACCATCAATCCTTACAAAAGTACCATAAAATCTCTCAAATCCAGAATTGTAAATCAATCAAACCACTTACAAAAGTTCAAAACCTACAATCTAAAGTTGAATACTATCTCAAACTAAAAACTGAGTTTACCACTGAAGCCCTTCATTAACTTGCAGCCCTGTAAATCAACAAAACAACAACAAAGATCCAGTCACAAATCCATAATTACAAATCGTTTCAAACTTGCAACTTCTGCATCACCCGAGCTTAAAATAATATTAAATTGTTTGGTTATCTAATTATCTTCTCCATTTGGATCTCCTCCCTCTGATGAATGATGACGATGATATGTTTTACTTCCCTTAAACAAAACCAAATCCCACCTTCCGAATTTGAGTCCCTCCCTCCTTCAATTCATTCATTCCTTCTCTCTCTCTCTCTCTCTCTCTCTCTCTCTCTGCCAGCTCTCACCCCTGCAATCTCTAACTGTTCCATAGCATTGTTCATTCCCAGCTCCCACCAATACTACAAACTGCGTTTCTGCATCACCCTTTTCTACCCCTTTATTCCTAGCACAACTTAAGGACTAGGATCTCATAAAAGAAACAACCGAAAGTTTGGTTCAAATAAGCGAAATCCAGGAACTAGATGCTAACCTTTCATGACAGGAGGTCTGTTGAATGAAGAACAAAATCCTGAAACACCAGAAAGAGAAAAAGAACATGAGATTAGTCTTCACCGATCATTTTGCCTAGGTTGGAGTGGTATTGAAACTGAAGCTATTCGGATGGCTAGAGAAGCTGAGCTTGCTTTCGTAATGCACTCATTTAAGAAGAAAAAAAAAGCCTATTTTTCCCTCCATTTCTCGATTCAAGTAGTACCTGTTAAGGAGTTCTACCCCTGCTGTCTCGGACCGCTAGTCGAAGAGTGGCCAGAATGCTGACCAGTGGAGTCAAGAGGATGCTGAAAAGTGAAAATATACAACAACAAAAAAAAACCAGTTAAAAGGCATAAACTCGCAATTTCCTCTGAAAGTTCTTACATTCAAAATAACAACTTACTTGTTCTACTAACATAGCCAGCTCCAATGGCATAGGGACATTCATGTGCTGAAAAATCTTGACAAACCACTCTTCATACTTCTCATTCTTCTTCAAGCTTTGTTGTAACTTAGACCACAAAACTTGCTCACTTCCAAAATCAGCATGTGATGATTCTCCGACATATCCAGACGAGCTAGAACTAAAGGTCTCAGACGGAACAACACCAGCCCCCATATCACGCATCCTACCTGAATGTTCTTTGCCCAAAACTTGGCCTAAAGAATCATTAGGTGCTGCTTGCTTTGGCATAGCACCTGTTGCTTCAAGTTCTACAATTTTTTCCTACACCAATGTTCACCAAAAACATGAAAACAAACATAGTTATCAACAATTGTACCAACAACAGTTGTTTTTCCTTCCTACGAGCCTTATAATGAAGTTGAATGGACCATTAGTTTAGATCTTGCCTCTGCCTATATTATCTATCAAAGCATAAGCACCAGCAGCTGCTGCCTTTTTCCTTTCCGTGTTCATAAAATCATGAAAACAAACTCTGCCTATATTATTTATCAAAGCATAAGCACCAGCAGCTGCTGCCTTTTTCCTTTCCGTGTTCATAAAAACATGAAAACAAACATCATCACCAGAAAATTAGAAGGGAAAATGTTCTTACACAAACATCTCTGGTCTTGGGATTCAAACATGAAAACAAACTTCTGCATCACCCGAGCTTTAGAATCAAGAAAAGGTTATAATTCATCTTACCTATCACCTGAACTTTCCAATATGGTCTATGACTATGAGTAGCTTTATCGGTAGTTGTCATTCCTGAAAATCAAGAATATAACCATGTAATATTCATTAGACATCGTCACATAAACTCCCTCCCCAAAAGCAATATCACATACAAGGTTTTTGTTCTGCACCTTATTATTCTCCACTACTACTGTGCTGTGCATGTCCATTACCCAGCTACAGTAATATATATGTGCTTCCTCCAACAACCTAACATTAGCTAGGGAGTCAAACAACACTTCATCACAGTAATGGGTTTTGAGCAACTTATAATGATTGATTAACCGGTTTGAATGCTTAATCCTAACAACCTCAACCCCAAAACTAAACCATATTATATACCTACGCCAGTCAGTAGTAACAAGTCATGTGCTGTGACGGTGTGTTTTAACTTTTAACTGAAGCTAATTTCAAAGGTCATATTGGCACTGGAAGTATTAGGTAAGACACGATTTTAACTTGCTAAAAACTACAATATTTCTGGCATTTCTACTAGCACCACAGCGGAATACACATAATAGATCACTGATCATATTAGTGCGGATGATAATGGAGTCCTAAATATGACCTAGTTGGTCCAGCTTCACGCCTATGCCACGAGCAGCAGATTGTTGCAGTAGCCAGTGGCCATGGCAAAAAGATCCTACAACCCTACAATCTAAACAGACAAAAAAATGGAACATAAACCTAGATTGTTCTGAACCTAAACCTATATTTCTCCGATTTCACTAACCAACATTGATACCAACACCCAGGACACAAATTCTATTCACTTTTGCCATGGATATATAGTTATGTTGCTGAGATAAGCGAAGCTAAGGCAGATATGTTGGTTTCTCAGGCAAACAAGAACATAGATATGCGAAGCTAAGGCAGATATGGGAAGCTAAGGCAGATCTGTAACCTAACTAGAATGAGCTCGCTAGCGCAAGTGAGGAAATCAGAGAGCGAGCCATGGAGAGAGAGAGAGCGAGGGAGACTAGAAGATTCACCTTTCAACTGGAGCGAGCGAGCGATATCGAACAATCGCCTGTCAATAACGGAGCGAGGAAGATCGGACAACTGACACCGGAGTGAGTGAGGGAGGATCGGAGAAATGACACCGGAGTGAGAGAGGGAGATTGGAGAACTGGCGGCCGGAGTGAGTGAGGGAAGTCGGAGAACTGGCGGCCAGAGTGAGCGAGGGAGATCGCGAATCGCGATTTCAGCCAGAGAGAGGAATCGCGATTTCAGTCGGGATGAGTGAGGGAGATCTGAATCGTTTTTTTTAGCTTTGGATTAGGTTGTCGTGTTTTATATTTTGAATTCAGAAACTAAAAAAAGAGAACCTAATAAATTAATATTATTAGTTTCTTGGGCTTGTAGAGCTTTTAGACCCATTACTCGTTCTTTTTCACAAGTCTTCCTCCCCATCCTTCTTAAATTGAGAAACCCCTTTGCAAGCCCAAAGAAACCCCAGAACAAGAACGAGCCATTATATACTGAAGAAATTCATAGAACAAAGGGCCTTAAAAAACCTGTGTGCATATGCAACCCCATAGCACTCCCGCCAAAAAAACCTTTAAATCCTATCTAATAAAATGCTTAATGCTTTTCTTACGTTGCTTCGTCATATTCAGCCAAAGAATTAGTAACAAACTTGGCTGGGAGCTTGCACTCTATTTGCAGCAGATTCAATTTCATAATATGCAGCAGCAGATTCATACACAATATCACAAGAGAAAAGGTCATAACAGCAGTTCTATTACAACCAAAAAATCCAGCAAAGGTGAATGAAATCAAACTACCAAATTTTATCACTCAAACTCTACTTCCACACCAAGTCTTGACAATTGCATTTGTGAACTGCCATCAACCCATGTACTAGCTAAGTCTTGATATGGAAATGCCTCACTCTCATAAACTGTATCCCCCTCCATGGAACCCATATCATACAGATCTCTTGGTTTGATATGTACAGGGATACTCCATCCTTTATCCATTTTATCCTCCACATAATAAACCATTTGGGCTTCATCAGCCTTGATGAATGGTTCATCATCATCTCGATCACTGGTGTGAATCAAGTGGGAGAAGTTGATTGACGTGAAGCCTAATGCATCTTTCTTCATACATCTAGGATTGATGGTATTGGCCCATTCACACTTGAACAAAGTGACAGAAAAATTACCGTAATAATTCAGCTCAATGATGTCTACCAATCTACCATAGTATGGCACTAAACCTTGAACTGGTCTCATATCACTTGAGCTTGCATAGCTGTTGGTGCCAAAGCTGCCAAACACACCACTATTGCTTGTCTTTGAAAGCTGTTCTCAGACTAAGGTCCGGAATCTATACCCGTTGATGTCATACGCAGTAAACTTTCTTGCTCTTCTCATGGGGCCTCTTGCAAGTGCCTTGAGATCTTTTGAATGCGACCCTACATTATCATTTAAAATCTACAAGCAACAGAAAGTGTCTCAATAAGAATCATATACTGCCAACTGTCTAGTATCACTAAGAAAACAAGACATTAAGGAATATAACATAATGTAACAGCAAGCTAACTCTGTAACCATTAATCACTGACCCGAGTTTTAAACCAATCTACGATTCCTCGGTGTACTGCTTTGTCTATTTCATTTGCTGACCTTGTCCGATTTCGTAACTTCTTCTTGGTTATGTCTCTAAATTCCCTGCATAAGAAAGGGTATGATCTTCAGAATCACTCTGTATTTACACCACTATATTTATATGATGGAAAAGGATGGAAGAAGATCCACATTACCCTTTCAAATTACACTTAGTTTAGAGGCCTATTAATTAAGTAATAAGAACAAGTTCTTCCCCTGATTTTAATTTAACAGTTCATCAATTAGCTTAGCAACTTGATTCAATGCAGGACATCATTGTTAACTTGTCTAAGAACTAAGAAGGCATGATTCTGGGTTTTAGGAGATATGATTAACAAACAAATGACCCTATTTCAAGATCCTAAAATCCTTACAATAATTATACCATGGGGGAGACGATGACAAGAAACTTACTGGATGAAGCGGTTTGCAGCTGTGCAATTAATCAGAACATGTCTACTTGCTTGCAAAATTTGAGAGTCACTTAAGTTAAAAGGTTGTGCACCACCAACTGGTTTCCCTATGCACGGGAAGAGAGAAGAAGATAACTGAAGTGAGTCGTCCAGCTTATCATTGACACGCCTTCCTCGATTGAACCTTTCTTCAACTCCCATTTCAAGATACAATGAAGCAAATGAAATAATTTCTTCAGATCTCCACCATTCAGCAATCGAACCTTCAGGACGTGCTTTATTGCCAACATGTGACTTCAACTTTCCCAGGAACCTAATAAAAAGACATGATGAGCAGAATGTAAAATAATCAGAGTAGGTAGCAGTAGGTAATACTAGTAAAACCAACTTGGGAAAAAGCAAACTCCACCATTCATCCAATGTACAAGAAGAAACACGATGATAGATAGAATTATGTTGATTGAAAGAAGAGATTTGACCTTTCTATAGGATACATCCATCTATAATGGACCGGTCCGCCGAGTCGGAGTTCTTCAACCAAATGGATTACAAGGTGAACCATGACAGTAAAGAATGATGGTGGGAAAAACATTTCCAAGTGACACAAACATAGAGAAATTCGTTTTTGAAGATTATCTAGCTCTGAAGTGTTTACCACCTTTGAACATATGAGTTTGAAACAAGATGAGAGCTCAACCAATGGTGAAGACACTTGTATAGGCATGATATTCCTTACTGCCAAAGGTAAGAAATCTTGTAGAAGAACATGTGAGTCATGACTTTTCAGTCCAGATAACTTACGTGCAGATAAATCTACACATTCAGAAATGTTGCTAGAATAACCATCTGGCACAGATATATCTTTCAATGTCTCAAGCATAACATCAATCTCTTGCTTCTTCAATGTGAATAAAGCTGCAGGACATGTCTTCCCATCCTGTTTTGGCCAAAGTTCATCTCTAATATTCAATTCAACTAGATCCTTCCGAGCATTCAAATGATCCTTTCTTTTATCTTTGTCATTAAGCAGAGTATATATGATGTTATCGCATACATTCTTCTCTATATGCATAACATCCAAATTGTGACGAAGCATATTGAACTCCCAATATGGAAGTTGAAAAAATATACTCTTCTTCTTCCATTGTTCAGGCAAGTCAGCACGGTTTCTTTTTCTACCACTTGTATGCTTACCAAATGTAACATGAACATGCTCTACTTGTTTCAAAATCTCTGATCCTGACATACGTTTTGGTGGATCCCTATCTTCAATATGTCCATCAAATTGAACCCTATTAAGGCGAAATTTGTGGTCTTTATCCAAAAAGCGACGACTGCCCATGAAGCACCATTTTTTACTACATGGAAGACGAAGAGGACGTGCATCAAAATTACAGGTTGGACAAGCCAAACCTGTATATATGTTCCACCCAGTTAGATTTCCAAGGGCGGGGAAATCACTAACTGTCCACATAAGAGTTGCACGCAACTTGAACACTTCATTTTTTGAAGCATCATAAGTCTCCACTCCTTCCTCCCATAAGGTCTTCAACTCTTCAATCATTGGTTGCATATAAACATCTATATCATTTCCTGGCATCTTTTTCCCTGGGATGATACCGGAAAGAATGAAGTTAGTTTGCTTCATACACAGCCAAGGAGGATTGTTATAAGGGATTAGAACAATGGGCCATATGCTGTAATTGTTACCCAATGATCCATTGGGGTTGAATCCATCACTAGCAAGACCGAGTCGCACATTTCGAGGGTCCGAAGCAAAATCAGGATATCTCACATCAAAGTTCTTCCAAGCCTCCGAATCTCTTGGATGCCTTGCTATTCCATCATTTTTTTTGTCTTTTGAGTGCCAAACCATATTTTCAGCAGTCTTGGAACAAGCAAATAACCTCTGCAAACGAGGTATTAAGGGGAAATAGCGAAAAATCTTGGCTGCTTGCTCTTTCTTTTTTTTATCACCAACTCGACCATTCTTCATCATCTTGTATCTAGACCTCCCGCAAACCTTACAACTTGTCCTATTAGCATCACTTCCCCAATATAACATACAATCCTTAGGACAAGCATGTATCTCAGTATAAGAAAGTCCAAGAGTCCTCATGACTTTTTTTGCCTCGTATTCTGATTTGGGAATGTTTGCAAACTCGAAAGCATCACTCAACAAGTCAATAAGCATAGACATAGCTTTGTCAGTGATTCTACACAAAGACTTAATGTTATACAGTCTTATCAAGAATGATAATTTTGAGAACTTTTTGCATCCTGGATACAATACTTCTTCCCCATCTTTCAAAAGTTGGCAAAACCTTTTAGCCTCAACATTTGACTCTTCATTCAAGCCTGACATCATATCATCTTCAAACAAAGGTTCATGCGGAGGGGAAGTATCTTCAAAAGTATAATCTCCATAAGCCCTAAATGCATCGGTTACCAAGTTGTACATTGGATTCTCATTGCCATGCACCTCCTCTCCTAGAATAGGTAAGCTTTGGGCGGATTCTCCTGAACGTGATTCCCCATGACGATACCAAACCGTGTATTCAATGGGAAAGGGACTACGTAACAAGTCGGCAAACACCTCATCCCTTATCTTCAACTTCTTAAAACCACACTTTCTACAAGGGCATAATATATGATCTATGCCAGAGTTACGCTCAAATGCGAAATCCAAAAATTTATTCAACCCTTGTACATATTTTGGTGTATTACGAGGCATTCTAATCCATGACTTGTCCATTTTAAGAATCACAACACCTAACAAATTGTGTAAACATGAACAGAGTAAAAAGTCACAACACATCATAATTTTGTCACAAGGAAAGAAATCTAGCACCAATTTCACAACTACGATATAAAATTCTGATTCATTTCACAAACATCACACACAAGGCGGATCAACTTTCATAAATGAATTTGAACATTGGGGAGTGAGTTATACCATAAATGCAGAAGGCTAAATAAAGAGAAGAAGAAAATACCTGTAAATTTGAAGGCCTGCAAACTTGACGAAGTCCAGGCACAATTCAACTCCACTCCAATTCCTTCTATGAGAGATTTCAAAGACTCCAAAAACCCACACGCTCCAACTCTGCTCTTGTTCTGCTCCAACTCTGCTCCAATTCCAATTCCTTCTCTAGAACCAGAAACCCAAAAGCTCTATTCCACAAAGATGCCAATACGAGTGAGAGAAACCCAGAAGCCCTTTTCCACACAGAACTCTTAACGCGGAAGAACTAGGGGCGATCGCGTTGGTCGTCGGAGAATACAGTGAGAGGGAATCGACGGGGAAGGACGCTGCGATCAACAATTGTATGGCTCTGCCCACCGTCGACGCAGAGAAAGGGGAAAGTGCTCGCGGAAGAACTAGGGGTGATCGACGGCTCTAGCCACCGTCGATCGGAGAATAGAGAGAGAGGGGACCGACGGGGAAGGACGGCGCGCTGCGATCGACGGCTCTGGCCACCGTCGACGTAGAGGAAGGGGAAAGTGCGAGAGTTCTTTTGTTTTTAGATATGAAGCTGAGAAAAGAGAGACAGGAGGAATAATTCCTATATTTTATGTTTTTTATATTATAGGAAATCATAACTCTAAAAACAAATGTAAAAAAGAAAAGGGTTAATACCCTAGTTTGGCCCGAAGTTTGGTTTAAGTAACAGTTCTGGCCTCATTTTTCAAATAAGACATTTATGTCCTACTTTTGAAACTATTGGACAAATTTGGCCCAAAAATTTCTTTGACCGTTAATACTAACGGTCAAACACAATTCCGTTAATGACTCAACAAAAACTGCCGATGTGGCATGCCACATCATTAAATAATATTATTTTAATATAATTCAATTAAAATACAAATTACGAAATTAAGAAAAAACCCTAAACTAAATCTATATCATCGTCAACAGGAGGGAGGCGCTCCTCCTTCTCTGAGAACCGCCGCCACACTCCCACCATTCATTTTTCTATCCCTTCATCCCTCTCTTTCTTCTCCTCGTCACTCCTTCCGCCATCGCCACCGGAAGTGTGAATCCACCTCTGTACGTCCGGAGAGGCGGTTTCGGTCGCCCTTGTCGCCGTACCTCCGACTCGAACACCAATGATGAGGACCCATCGACCTGTGATGTTGGAGGAGGAGGTGACTCCCTCATGTTAACACGAAGAGGTTGTTTTAATTTTTTCTTCTTAATTTTTTAATTTGTATTTTAATTGAATTACAAAATTAAAATAATATTATGTAATGATGTGGCATGCCACATCATCAGTTTTTTGCTGAGTCACTAATGGAATCGTGTTTGATCGTTAATATTAACGGTCAAAGAAAATTTTGGGCCAAATTTGTCCAATAGTTTCAAAAGTAGGCCATAAATGTCTTATGGCCAGAACTGTCACTTACGCCAAACTTCGGGCCATACTAGGGTATTAACCCAAAAGAAAAATACAAAGGAAAGAAGGGGATGAGTTAGCTTGGTTACTAAATTTCTAGTAGCCACCTTGGCTACATCAATATCCACCATCCATTTTTATCTTTTTCCTATTTTTTTAATCTCACGATTATGATTGCTCAAGGATAATTTTGGAAACAAAAAATAAAACACACTGGATTATTCTATATATACACAAACCCTAATTCTACCCTCCTCCTTCCAACCAAACCCGCGCCCCCCTTCCCCACCGTCCCTCTCTTCCTCCAGCCCCCCCCCCCCCCCCCCCCCCCCCCCCCCCGCCGATGGCGTCCCGCCCTTGCCCCTCGCCGCCGCCGAGTAACAGTTGCAAAAATTGAGAAGTCAGTCCTCGCTTTGCCTCTGCTGCTTCGTCTTCTTTCTTTTTCTTCTTCAGGATCACATGCCATTAGCTCTGTAATTTTCTTCTTTCTCGTTCGGCAATGGCGGAATAGGGAGGTGGGAAGTGATTGGGAAGGGGAATTTATTAGGTTGATAGCGAAATTGATTAGGAAACTGAATTGGGTGATTTCAATGGGAGGAGGGAGCGCCATTAATCAGCTGAATGAGAGTTGTGCTTGAAGCTCTTTCCCTTTAGGAATTTCCATTGGAATGGTATGTTTTTTTTTAAATGGTAGTCATTTTTTTCAATAGTGATTTTATTTAAATGGTAGTCATTTTTTTCGTAGTGGTAGTTACAAAAATCATTTAAATAAAATCATTTAAATAAAATCACCGTAATCACCGTAACCCCTCCCAGGAAAGAAGGAGTCACGTGTTCTGATCAAGAGGAATCATAAAAAAAAAATCAAATATGGAAAAGAGAGACATGTCTCTCATAGTCTCCATGTGCCATTTACTTTATCTTTTTTTTTTTACCTCACCATTTACTTTATCGTGACTTGCAATTAATTAATATTTTAAATGGACAAATCCAATTCCCGACGGTCACAAACAACGGCCAACTTGTCCGTCCAATCTCCTCACTTATCGACGGTCCTAGTGGCTGTCATTAAGTGAATGTCGGTAAAATAGCTTTTTGTTGTAGTGCACACTGACCTGGACCAGTCGAAGACGTCGTTGAGGCGGCGGTAGAGGCTCCTGGCGTTGGGGACCCTGCGGCCGCCGCCGGGGTTGAGCCACTGCACCATGAAGCCTTCCCTGTTGATGGTGATCTGGTGGTTGAAGGTGTTGAGGCATAGCTCCTCCAGCTTCTGCCCGCTGATCAACGCCACGCCGAACACTTCCAGCTCGCGGTGGGTGCAGTGCTGGTTGCTGCCGATCCGAGCCACTTGCTTCCAATCGCCGACGTAGCCGGAAAGGTCCTGAGTGTTGAGGTCCGGGGAGTACGGCCCGTTGTTCACCCTCATCGTGCGGTCGCTTAGGGCAAGCAGCCATAGATTGTTGGAGTCCAACACGAAGCGAGACATTTTTTTCTACTGAATGTACGTTGTTTCTCTCTTTCTCGACCAGACTACTAAAGTTAAATTATTTGCTAGCTTGTGTTGTGATTGATTGATCTGTGAGATTTGGAACCTGTACGTACTTATAGTGGAAACATTAATTACCCTTCTCAGTTCTCATGAGGTATTTGCTTTCCTCAATCAATATTAATTTCACAGGTGCGACCTCGGGCGAATCTCATCACTTCCCGACAAAGTATGTAAATTGATTACTAACTACCGTTGAGCTGGTGGCCATGTGGGTATATGATTAACTAGTGCGATCCAGCTTCTCACCCGATTCTTTATTCATTAATTGCATGCACAATCATCGCTAAGTGTAAGGGAGATACTAGTAGGCCTGTCGGTTCGGTTCGGGTCGGATAACCGAACCCGAAACCCATGAAAACCAAAAAACCGAACCCAAGCCCACACAACCCGAAACCAAACCCGAACTGCACTTTTGTGGGTTTCGGGTACTGGAACCCGAAATTGAGCAGCAGAATAAACAAACCTCACTCAATGAATCAAACTACAGAACAGAGAAACAATGCAAAAAGGACAACCCACTAGAATTTGGACTTGGCGCGAACCTCATTCGTATTCCAGAGCTTCATCCTATAGATCTTCGGATGGTCATCGCTCTCCATCGGAAGAGCTCGCCCGACGACCTGGTACTGGTGGTACTGGACAACCCGAGAAGTAAAAAAAAAAAAACAAATACCCAACAAAAACAAATCAACAAACCAACGAGAAGACCACGAATCCTGACTTCATTAGACCAAAACGCAAATGAACCAAACTAACAATAAAACAAATGGGAGCCAAAGAACCCCATAGAAATTTTGAACGGGAAATTCGAGAAGCCGAAAGCTTTAACATACCCTGTAAGCAACCATTTTCGCCGGCAGAGGAAAATAGAATGGGAAGTTCCCTTCGCTTCAAACTGTCTCTGCCTTCCCCTCTCACGCCGCCGATCGAGAACAAGGAAGAGGGTTTTGGTTTTGGGCACTGAAGATGGTAACCCTAACTGTAGATAGTAAGACAACACGACTGTCGTTTCGAGGTACCTAACCTGAAATGGGTTTCGAGGTACCTAACCTGAAATGGGCTTCGGCCTGGATACTGATCACCATCTCGACCTTAGTTTCCGACGGCGGCGATGCTCTGTTTTCATCGCTCGGCGGCAGAGCACGACCGACGACGACGACCTTCTCCTCCTGCCGATTGACGGCGACGTACGAGGTTTCCAGCATTGACACGCGGCGAATTCGGCTTTCGCCGCCGGGGAGGTTTCGAGGCGACGAGGATGGTGACGATGATCAGATTGCAGAAGAAAAGGCCCACTGCCGGAGTATCAATTTTCGGTTTTGCGGGTTGCTTTTCGGTTTTGCGGGTTTCAGTAACCCGAAACCGAGACTATAGATATTGGGTTGAACCCGAAAAAACCAAAACCGAGAATAAAAAACCGGTTCGGGTTCGGGTTAACCCGAAAACCCGAAACCGGATTGACAGGCCTAGATACTAGGGCCATGTCTAGTTTACCTAGACACACTAGAGAGTCGAATGAAAAAATAACAACATATCTTACAATTGTATAAAATCACAAGTTTATGAACCAACATCATCTCATCCATCTCTTGTTTCTAAACCATCATCATTAATACATGGTATAGTATAGAATATAGTGTGGAGAAACAAGAAAAAAGGAAGAAGTAGTACAATGGTGAGGCCGATTGAGAGAGAAGAAGTCGCAAAAAACAAAAAAGAAGAAGAAACTGTTATAAAGTGGGTCGTCCCTAATTCTAACCTAGCGGTAGCAGAACTCAGAAGCGAAGAAGAAAAAAGAAGGATGACCTCAATTTTTCTCTAACTCAATAGCAAACCGATGTGAGACACGGCGACGTCATTCTAAAGTTATTACAGCTCAATGTTGTCTACGCGTCAACAAATTTCTATTCACTGCTTACACTTACCCAAATTAGGCGTTTTCAGAACCATATACGCAATTAACTATCTTTATTTATATATACAAAATGTATCTGGGGTCCTGTTTATGTATATTTATGCGGAAAGAAAAAGGTTCCCAACAAAAAGTTCCCAAAATCCACTCCCCGCGTTCCACCATATATTTTATACATGCCAATACAGGATCACGTGGTTAATTATATCAATGAATACAGAGACACGTGGTTAATTATGAGCCTTTTCTGCATCCCGCCCCAATTATTAACCTTTTCGTTGTTTTGAATGATCACTGTCGATATCATCACTTGCATAACTTAATTGGTAGTCTTGAGTTGTTTACACCTTTCTTAATCATAATCATGGGTGGTGCAATAACGATATGTTTTAATACATTTCAGAAAAAATAATACTCACCCTTTCAGAACTCTTTAAGTGTGAGCAAAACAAAGTCGAAAATCGATCCAACTGTCCAACGCAAACCAAAAATAAGAACCTTGTAGTTGGGTACGAGTTTGAATGGTTACACATGAGAATACTCAAACCGACTCGTGATAATGCTTCGAAGTCTTATATATTTATAATATATTTTTCTAACCTCAAATCTATTACTTTAATTACTACCCTTGTCATTTGTTTACATAGATAGAGTCAATAAGTTTTAAAATCAACTATTTATCTACATTGCTCAACAAATTTCTTTCAGTATATCATACTAGAGAATCATTCACGAATAGATCTCTTTCAAAATATCCTACATAAAATCTCATTCAACGTGTTTTCATTTACTATTGACTGGTGCTAGCTCTAACAATCTGATTTTCCATATGCAGCTTGGAATATTGCAGAGTTGCGGTTTGCAAAGGAGAGGATTGTTCATCCATGGAGCAAGGCAGTCGGCGGGTTTTGCAGACGAGGAAGGGGCAGTGGATTCTGTAGGGAGGGTTTCAATCAAAGATTGACGAAAAGGGAGAGAAGAGAAGGTCAAAGTCGTGTTTCCTTTCCTTCGTATATCATAAGTGTTATAAACGCGCTGCTACGGATCGGGAAATCGCAGGAATCGACAAAGCAAGAATACGAAAGCGAGAATCGAAAACACGACACACGATTTACCAGTCGTAGCGGCTGATAGTCCGATTCAAGTCATATAAACAAATCTCCACCTTGACTTGAATCCTCTTCCTCTGAAATCTCTAATGTACTCTGCTCCTTCTATCTCTCTCCCGCCATCAATGCCCCGCAGGGCGGAGTCACCCACTCAAGACATTCAGCAAGTCCAAGCAGTGTTGGAACTTGCCATGTGGAACCGGCTTCGTGAGCATATCATCAGGATTATCCGCGGTGCCAACCTTCTTCACCTTAATCCTCTTCTCTGTCCTCAAGAAATGATACCTCACATCTATGTGCTTAGTCCTCTCATGGTGGACTTGATCCTTGGCCAAGCATATTGCACTCAAACTGTCGCAATACACCACTGCCTGATCATGATGTAGACCAAGATCACCAACCAGTCCCTTCAACCATATTCCCTCCTTAGCAGCTTCTGTCAACGCCATATACTCTGCCTCAGTAGTAGACAATGTCACCGCCGACTGCAAAGTTGCCTTCCAGCTCACTACAGAACTCCCAAGAGTGAATACATAATCGGTCATCGATCTCCTCGTGTCAACATCTCCAGCATAGTCCGAGTCAGAATACCCAGACACCAAACACTCTGTATCACTTCTGAAGCTAATCCCCACATCAGGTGTACCCTTAAGGTGCCGGAAGATCCTCTTCACAGCCTGCCAATGCTCCTTCCCAGGTTGTATCATAAACTTGCTGACAACACTAACAACATGTGCAAGATCAGGTCTAGTGCATACCATAGCGTACATCAAGCTACCTACCGCACTAGAATATGGGACTCTCGACATGTACTCCTTCTCAGCCTCCGACTGTGGTGCATAAGCTGAGGATATATGAACATTTGAAGCACTAGGAGTATTTAAGGGCTTTGCTGAAGACATGCCAAACCTCGACAGTATCTTCTGGATGTAGCTCTTCTGTGACAAGAAAAGCTTCTTCTTCGACCTGTCCCTGTAAATCTCCATACCCAAGATCTTCTGAGCAGCTCCCAAATCCTTCATCTCAAACTCAGCACTGAGAAGCACCTTTAACTTTTGGATATCAGACTTCGACCTCGCAGCTATGAGCATATCATCCACATACAGAACAAGATAGATCATCGAACCATCCTCCACCTTGTTGTGATACACACAACAATCATATGGACTTCTGCTATAGCCCAGCTCAAGCATGTAACTGTCAAATCTCTTATACCACTGCCTCGGAGACTGCTTAAGTCCATACAAAGACTTCTTCAGCTTACAAACATAGTCTTCTTTTCCAGGAACCTCGAATCCTTCTGGCTGAGTCATGTGAATTTCTTCCTCCAACTCTCCATGTAGGAAAGCTGTCTTCACGTCTAGCTGCTCGAGCTCCAAGTCATAATGTGCCACTATTGCTAGTAGCACTCTGATCGAAGTATGTCTGACCACTGGTGAGAAAATCTCATTGTAGTCAACTCCTTCCCTTTGCGAGAAGCCTCGTGCAACCACCCGAGCTTTAAATTTCATGCCCTCTTTAGAAGTGATTCCTTCCTTCTTCTTGTAGATCCACTTGTTTGTAACAATCTTCCTTCCCTGTGGTCGTTTGACTAACTCCCAAGTCTGATTCATGTCATGGGATTTCATCTCATCTCCCATTGCGGCAAGCCACTGATCAGGTTCGCCACCCGAAACGGCTTCTCTATAGGACTGTGGCTCTCCTGCATCCACTTCTTCAGCAACCTGAAATGAATACGCCACCATGTCCTCGAAACCATACCTCTGTGGAGGTACTCCTGCAGTCGCTCTCTTCGGTCTACCGGAAGCCATAGACTATTGAGCTCGTGCACTGGACTCTGAAGTTTCGGGCTCTGCAGAGACATCCTCATCATGTTGATCTTCTCCACCTTGGTGCTCAAACTCACTCTCATTGAG